AGTCCAAATGTGTCTCACTGTAGTTTGTTAGAAATTGGGGGCAAGGGTGGGGGGGAGGAGGAATGTTTTAAAAAGTTTTCATTTTTGATTTTAGTATGTGCTTTTCTTTTTTTTCTTTTATAATAGTATGGTAATAATAGTTTAATAATTTTTTTTTCACTTTTATTATTAAGCTTAACCTACTTTATTCTCAATCACATTTCACAGCATTCAATTAAAAAAATTGCATTTTCATAGAAGCACTGGCATTGTGCCAGTGTCAAACCAAGACATCTAGCTTGATGTGCCTTTCTAGATGATCAAATTTTCTTCATTCCATTGTTCACAGAGAAAGTTCCTATGGGTGTTTTCTGTTTGTTTTCAGAGGTTTTGCTCATTAGTCAACATCCAGTTCATTGCAGGGGATGCACAATAGAAAAAGCAATACATGGATCTCTGTTGCCGTGCGAGACTGGCTCCGGGTGGGCGCCGGCAGGAGCACGGTGGCAGGAGGGGAGAGGCGGGGCCGCTTTTCCCCTTCGGCTCTGCGAGGCTCAGTTCTAGCGTGGGAATAGACGAAATAGCGACACGGGGCTTGGGTAGAGACGTGTTAATTGTGGAAGCGTGTTCCTGAGATACCAGAGCACTGGCCGGGGGTCAGTTATACCCCATGCTGGGGGCAGGGGGGGAACATGAGCCGCAGCCAATGGGGATAGGATGGGGGGGGCAGGGCAAGCCCCAGAGACCCCGGGGAGGCAGGAGCAGCGATGGCAAAGGCAAGGTTCAGGGCAGGGACGCACCCGCGTGGCGAAGGGGAGTGATAAGGGAACGCAGGATCGGGACAAAGGACCGCGTGGGGAGGGGGGAGGGGTGGGCTGGATCACAGGACAAAGGGGGAACACGGAGGGAGGGGGAATGAGGGGGAAGAAGAGAAAATTACAAATTCCACAGATCTCTGGACCATGCTTTCTTGTAACAGTCTCTGTGTGAACTTTATTTAAATTATCTAGGAAGATTGCTTGGGTTTGGTGTTGGAAAAAACCCTCCAGTCTCTGCCTTGACAGAAGTTTCAATACCTCTCTAGAAGGAGCTACCTACAGAGGAGACTGATGGTCCTGCTTAAATACAGAAGTTGGTGACTTCACTTAGTCCAGGTATAACTGCCTCAGTGACATCAGTTTGGATTCATGACTCTTTGCATTTGAAAAGAACAAAAAACCTACATTGTAATCTCTCATTAGGATATAAATGAAAGTTCAATTCTTGCCAAACTGAGCAAGCCTTATTTCTTTCACTGTTATCTGGGACCTCAAGTAAGGCACTAATCCTATTTTTTTCTGTTTGACAGTCAGAAAGCAATTTTTGAGGGGAGATACTCTTTTGCCATACTTAGGTACCCAACTGCCTGAGTTGAGCTGGCCACCTCAATTGCCTTTACAGTCACTGGAATAGGGTGGCTTTCTCCTTGGGCTGAGTCAGAGCAGTGCCGTAATTTCTGCAAAAAGCTACTTCTTTCCACCTTTTGTTTGAGGAACCTAGTTGGTGAGTTCACTCTTTGAAATTGGGTTTTAAAATTGGACCTTGTGATTAATGTCACTTACCCTCAAAGGACTCTGATTATTTAGAATGAATAACTATTTGTTTCAGTGCCAGATTTGCTGAGTGCAGTTGCTTCTATGGATTGTAAAAATTATGGAGGAAAAAAAGTGCGTTCTTGTTTTGAAAAATTACTGTAGTTTAACAACTGAATTGAAAAACTATAATGTCCCTAACAATAAAGCAAACACCATAAATGTGAGTTTATTAGAGAATTTCTTAACGTGATGTAAAAGACCGAACAAAAGGGTCATCTTGCTTTATTATTTCTGTTCAAGAAGCTGGAACTTCCTAGATAAACAGGAGGGACTGGAAATGTATGTGCAGCCCAATGTGGTCTCATTGCAGTTACGGGGAAGTGGTGGGACAGCTCCTGTGACTGGAATTTTGGCATGAAGGGGGCTGCACACAGTTTGGGAAAGACAGACCTGGAGGGAACAGTGGTGAGGCAGCACTTGGACTGTGTCGAGCTGTGTCTTGGTGAGGAAGATGAGTGAGTCAAGAGCCTGCAGGTTGGGACAAAAGGACAGGCTAGTAAGCATGACACTGTTGTGTGCCACAGGCTGCCCAGTCAGGAGGAGGGAAGTGGATGAGGCAAGTAGAAGCAGTATGAAAGTCACAGTCCCTGGTTCTTGTTGGAGATTTTAATCTGGAATCTATTGCAGAAGCTACACAGCGAAGCACAAACAGTCCAAGAGGTTCTTGGAAAGCCTTGAGGATAACTTCCTGTCAATGAGAGGATCCCACAAGGAATGTGTGGTCCTCGACCTCATACTAACCAACATGGAAGGCCTTGCTGGAGATGTGAAGGATGAGAGTAGTCTTGGCTGTAGTAATCACGAGATTGTAGAGTTCAGTGTTGAATGAAGAGGTAGCAGGACAGTAAGCAAGATTGAGGTGACCTAACTTAAGCCTCTTTGAAGATATTCCTGGAAGAATCCCATAGGAACAGGCCCTGCAGTGAAGAGGGGTCCAAGAGAGTTGGTTAATGTTCAAGGCTCACTTTCTTCAGGCTCAAGAATCATGCATCCCAATGAGAAAGAAAGAAGTCAGGCTGAGGGTATGAGAACCTCCAGGGAGGAATAAAGAGCTCCTGTCATTGCTCAAGTATAGGCAAAAAGTTCACAGGAGATGGAAGGCCAGGCCACTTGGAGTGAATATAGAGTGGTGGTCAGGATAAGTAAGAATGAGACTAGAAAGGCCAAGGCTCATCTAGAACTAAATCTGGCCAAGGATGTCAAGGATAACAAGAAGGACATTTTCAAATACACCAACAAAAGGAAAATGAAGGATAATGTGAGCTCATTAGTAGGTGAAGGGGTGGCTCTGGTAACACAGGATACAGAAGAGTCAGAGTTATTGAATGCTGCCTTTGCATCAGTCCTCACCAGTAAGACCAGCCCTCTGGGATCTCTGACCCAGGAGACCAAGGTAAAGGAACATCAGGAAGAAGACTGTCCCTTGATTAAGGAGGATTGGGTCAAAAAACACTTAAACCTGAATGCACAGGTCCATGGGCCCTGACAGGATGCATCCATGAGTGCTGAGAGACCTGAGAGTGCTTCACCATAGTGAAGCCACTCATGATCACCTTGGAGAGGTCGTGGAGATCAGGAGAAATGCCTGAGGACTGAAAGAAAGCAAATGTCACTCCAGTCTTCAAAATGGGCAAGAAGGGCCCTGGAAACTATTGACCAGTCAGCTTCACCTCAATCCCTGGAAGGGAGATGGAGTGTCTCATTCTGGAGGCTTCCTCTGTCCACATGGAAGATAAGGTGATCAGGAGAAGTCAGCATGGGTTCACTAAAAGTAACCTGATCGCCTTCTACAGTGAAACAACTACTTGGATGGTAGTTGTGGAGCAGTGTATATTGTCTGTCTTGACTTCAGCAAAACTTTTGACATGGCCTCTCATGACATCCTCACTGGCAAACTCCAGAAGTGTGGGCTGGATGGGTGGACAGGGAAGTAGACTGAAAACTGGCTGAGTGGCAGATCCCAGAGGGTTGTGATCAGTGGCCTAGGGTCTAGTTGGAGGCCTGTCACTCGTGGTGTCCTCCAGAGCTCTGTTCTGGGCTCAGAGTTGTTTAACTTGTTCATCAGGGATTGTCCGAGGGGTCAATGCCTCTTCAGGAGTTCACTGATGGTGCAAAGCTGGGAAGAGCAGCTGACAGCCCTGAGGGCTGTGCAGCCCTTCGGAGGGACTCAGCTTGGAGAGATGGGCAGAGACGAGCTGTCTGACATTCAACAAGAGCAAATGCAGGTCCTGCACCTTGGCAGGAGCAACCCTAAGCACATGTACAGGCTGATCTGCTGGACAGCAGCTCTGTGGGGAAGGACCTGGGGGTCCTGGTGGACAACAATCTGTCCCTGAGCCAGCAGTGCCCTGGGGGACAAGAGGGCCAGTGGAACCATGCAATGTATCAGGAAGAGCAGTGCCAGCAGGTCAGGGAGTGATCCTGCTCCTCTTCTCAGCCCTGGGAGGCACATCTGGAGAGCTGTGTCCAGGTCTGGGATCATCAGGTGTGACATGGAGCTCTTGGAGTGGGGCCAGCAGAGACTGCAGAGATAAGGAAGGGCCTGGAGCATCTCCTTGACAAGGAAAGGCTGAGGGAGCTGGGGCTGTCCAGCCTCAAGAGGAGCCCCAGCTGAGAGGGACCCTCAGCCTGGGGTGTCCCTGTCTGCAGGGAGGGCTCAGAGCAGGGCCCAGGCTCTACTCCAGGGGGCCCAGCAATGGCACCAGAGGAACAGGCAGAAACTGATCCCAGGAGGTTCCACCTGGACATGAGGCAGAACTTCCTGGGCAGTGCCCGAGCACTAAACAGATTGTCCAGAGAGGGTGTGGAGTCTCCCCATCCCCTTTTTAAAAGAAATCCTTTGGGTTGTAATGCACTGATGTCTGAATTTGCTTTGGAAAATCTTATAGGCATTGCAGTCCAGTGAAGAGGAGCACTGAAGAGCTCTGAGAAGATTTTTATACCAAAAATCTAAAGGGGATAATAAAGTCATCAGTATGTACAACCCTGTAATTTTATGTATTACTTGGAATTTCAGCTTCTTAGCTTCCCCGAGTACAAAACATGGTATTGAATACTGTCCTAGAAAAGGGCTTGTTTACAGAATGAATTCTTGCTGCACTGGAAAAGCCCTTTCTCAAGCAAGTAGTTATGTCAGCTCTCTCAGTTGATCCTGTAGAAATGAGTCAGTTAGACTTGAGGTGGAAAAAGATAGCCCTACCCCCTTTCGTCAAATTTCTGAGTTGTGACTTAGGGATTTGCATTGTTACAGGTGTGGGAAGGGAATTGATTAGAAGAAGCTTTTAGGAGGTATCTTGTTGTGGTGCACTAAATAGCTTATTTAGTTGTTGTTTTGCACTGGATGATTGGGAATTTGCACTGAGTGTTGCCTTTAGGGGAAGGCAAGGTGACCTGGTTGCAAGGAACAGCATGGCAGCCCGGCCTAGTCCGGGCTACTCGGGCCAACAACAGACGCTGACACCAGTGTGGTGGACGGTTGAAAGCATTTATTATCTTATCTCATGGGTTTAAATAGTCTTGGGGGACTTTGCTACGCCAGGGGGGTTTGGTAGGGTCTCTAGAGTTAGTCAGGAGTGGAAAACTACTGGGTTAGGTGTGGTTACATTCTCTGGGGAAATAGATAACCTGCTGCACGAGGAGAGGGGGAAGGGGTCTTTCTTTCCGTCACATCCCAAAATCTTCCGTCCGCCTGTCCCTATCTACTACAACCGAGTAGTATTTATATTGCACTATGGAGTTTATGTCACGTTGGTCTATTCCACATACCTTTCCCCTCCCTGCTAAGCCTTGGGTGTGGTGGTCTTTCCCTGACCTGCTCTCCCCTCCCCCTCTCCTCACCTGTGTCCCATTGGATGTGGCTTCTTGGTTCCTCCCCACCCCTTTTTCTCTGGGCTCAAAACCCCCCTGGATGACACCTTCAGTCTTTTTTTCTTCCGGACACCACCAGACACCTCAATCTCTGTTACCCCTGAGGCATCACCTGGGTCTGAGGTGGCTCCTAATAATAAACAGAATTTGAGTCTCGAAGAGAAGAGCACTTCCCATCTTTTATCTTTGTCCATGTAGGATTCCCCACCCCGTGCTCAGAGGGGATCAGGGGATTCTTGCAGCTGGTGCCTAATGTGGGGCATGAACCCGTGACCCTGAGAATAAGAGTCTCATGCTCTACGCAGTATCTACTACTGTCGGTAAGTCAATTTTCTTTCCTTATGTTGTGACAAAGCTGCAGCACCTGTTTTTTGGATTTTTAATTAGTAAAGTTAAGCTAAATATGCATTTGTTTCCACTACCAAGTGGCAGAGTTACTTTGTGGCCTAGCCATCCCTTTTATACAATTGGTGTGATTCTATCATGCTCTTAGTGGCTGGTGTTGAGGGAAGTTCTCTGTTGGACCATTCAGGACCACTCTGTCAGTCACTCTTGCACTACCTGAGTAGGGACCAAACCTTATTCTAGTTGCATGCCCCACACCTCATCCAGGCAGACCAGGTTTCCCATTGCACAGTGTCACATCCTTAAAATCCTTTAAATTATTTTATCTTGGTGCAATAGCTAAATAACAAAATAACAGCTGGAGCTGGGTGCCTCTGAGGTCCTGAACAAAGGAGACCCTGGCCTTTTATACCCTCTCAGTCTAAGAGCAGGAAAGTATAGGGGCTGTCACTGCTGTCTCTTGAGTGTCTGGTCACCTGGCTGTGTCACAGGTCCCTGTGCCATTTGTTATCTAAAGGGTTGGTCCTCTGTCTCCTCACTGCTAATCCTGCAAAACCAACCTATCATGGCAGCTCACAGCAGTCTATGGAACAAAAGAAGACCAAGGTTATAAAGAGTTAAGTCTCTTTTGAATAAATTAACCATCTATATTTCTTAAACACTTGGGGAAAATTCTTACTGTTGCTACCACTTATGTATATTATTAGAAGTACTCTGTTTGAATTGCTTCATATTAATTTTCTAAACATATTTTTGTCCTAAGTGGTGATTCTAATCTCTGGATTGTTTGTTGATTTGTTTGGGTTTTTAGGGTTTTTTGTTCAATTGCAGAACTGGAGATCCATTTTACTACAATCTAGTTCAGAGAAGAGTAGTTAAAGAGTTGTTGTCAATAAACCAGATTAAAGCCTTTGGTAAAATTGGATAACAACCATGAAGGGATTACTGCTCACAACTTATAACAAAGGAAAGTATTATCTGAAGCAGACCACGGATTGGACGGACTAACAGAGGACATGATATGAAAAGAGTAAATTAAATGTAGACCAAAAGACAATGTTTTGGAAGTCTATGCAGTCAGTTTTCAGAAATTGTCACACTTGAGATTTGATTTGATCACTGGTGGACAGAAACTCAGCTCCTGAGGAGAAGAACATCCATACATATATACACATCTGTGCTGTTGCATTTTAGTTAAGTGGTATGCTCTCTCTCACCCCTCAAAACTGTATGGTTTATTCCAGGCCTGTAATCCTCCCCTGAAGTATCCTGTGTCTGAAATCCCATTGGCCTGAACTTAAAAGTGCCCACTTGGAAAACTCCCTGTTAAGTGTGCCGGTGGGACCAGGCGCTCTCTCTGAGCCAGCTCTCTTGGCCCGTGTTTCCTAGCCCCTCTCTCCCTCTCCCCTTTCCCCCTCCCTCCCCCTTCCCTCCCTCAGAAACCATGCTGCTTCCCGGGGGTAGGACCCCCAATAAGCCCTAATCTAATTAGCACCTTCAGAAGCTGTGTGGAGTCTCCTTGCTTGCCTGCTGCTACCAGCGAACTCACAGTTTGGGGGGCCCCCCAGGGACACCCTGGGGGTCCCCTCAAGCGCACCGTAACACACGTCATGTGGGATTTTGTTTATGTTTTTCTACAAGCTCTGGCTGAGCATGTTACAAATTTCCATGAAAGATGTAAGCTTAAAGGAAAACCCAAAACACAGATGTATTGACCGTACTTCACTTTTGGGCAGAAATAATATACAGCAAAACCTGTAAGTTATACAGTAAGTTATATGGCTTGGTCGCAAATCTGAAGACTGTGACTTGTAAGAGTTTTGGAATTAAAGTGCCTTGTCCTCTTCAATAAAACAATACTAATGCTGTCCTGATTCCAACAGAGTGAATCATTGCTTGGTGCACTTGGATTGATGGCAAATAGATGCAGTCAGTAGTTCAAATAGTTCAGGCAAATAGTTCAGTCAGCTTGAGGAAAAACTAATTTATAGTATAGAGGAACAGTGTTACACCAAGTGCTAAAACATCTGCTTTTGAGTATAACAGGGATTAAGTGGGAGAGCAACAATAAATAAAGCGTGGTTAGAGGGATGAGAAATTCGACAACTTGTATCCTTCCGCTCAGTCATCCCACTAATGCAATGCTGTAGTGGAGAAAGAACTGTATCCCACCATTGTATGTCAGTGGTCAGGTAGGAGTACTGTGGCAGCTGACACCAGCACCCCCTGTTGCCTTCCCACCCCTGGGTGTGTACAGTTGTACTTTAAAGAACAGTTGATCTTGCCTAGCATAAAGAGTACAGGGCAGAATGTGACACAAGTTTAGATATTAGAAATGCAATTTCTCTGTAAATTAAATTACTAATCATTAAGTTGGCATTTCTTCTGCTTAGCACTTACTTGCTGTTGAAATGCAGTTGTTCTGGGGGGTTGTATCAAGATGTTTTTAACACAAGATTCTCAGGAGTGATGCTTCGGGTTTTAGCTTTTATGTTTTTCAGATTCTATACTGCTTTAGTGTGTAGTTCTGAGCTTCATATTAAGGGATAGTAAGTGCTCTTCACAGAGTAGGTAGACAAAACAATTCCTTCTCTATCTGGGGGCCAAGGACAACCAATCCAAATGTTGGACCGAAGAACATAAACAACAACAGAATGAAGAGAGGAAAACAAGAAGGATGGGACTATAAAAGTGAGAGACCTTGTCACCGGCCATGCATTTTGTGACCATTTTGGGTTCATCTTGGGTGTAGCCCTGACTGGGCTCTTGTACTACCAAGGTGTATCCACTGAGATCTTTTAATAAATACCTACTTGAATCTATAATTCTATCTTTAGCCTCTGTTCTAGATCAGTCTTTACAAGGCATCAGTAGTACCAACTTTCCACAGAATCACAGAATAAGCTGAGCTGGGAGACACCCACAAGGATTATCGAGTCCAGCCTCTGTCCCTGCACAAACACCCCACAATCCCATCCTGTGCATCCCTGAGAGCGCTGTCCAAACGCGCCCGGAGCTCTGGCAGCCTTGGGGCCATGACCGCTCCCTGGGGAGCCTGGGCAGTGCCTGACACCTCTGGGGGAAGAACCTTTCCCTGTTACCCAGCCTGACACTCCCCTGACCCAGCTCCAGCCGTTCCCTCGAGTCCTGTCCCCGGTCCCAGAGAGCAGAGCTCAGTGCCTGCCCCTCCACCTCCCCTCAGGAGAAGCTGTGACTGCGCTGTCTGCCCTCAGTCTCCTCCAGCTGAACAGACCAAGTGCCCTCACATGGCTTCCCCTCAAGGCCCTTCACCATCCTCGTGCTCTCCTTTGGACACTCTCTAATAGTTTAATGTCCCTCTGATATTGTGGCACCCAAAACGTCACACAATATTTGAGGTGAGGCCGTCCCAGAGCAGAGCGGGACAATCCCTCTCTAGCCCAGCTGTGCCTGATGCCCCCAGGACAGGGATGTCCCTCCTGGCTCCAGGACACTGCAGCCTCATGTCCAACTGGCCGTTGACTGGGACCCCCAGGTCCCTTTCCCTGGCACTGCTTTCCAGCCTCTCATTCCTCATTCCCAGTCTGTCCATGCATCCAGGGCTGCCCCATCCCAGGCCCAGAATTCGGCAGTATCCCTTGTTGAACTTGAGAGGGTTGGTGGTTGCCCAACTCTTTAATCATCTCTCTACAGGGCCTTGCTGAATGTGCTATATTCCCACTGAATGAAGCAGGAAGTTTCACCATAGAGCAATGAAAACTAAAAAAAAAAAAAAAAAAAAAAAATAAAAAAAAAAAAAAAAAAAAAAAAAAAAAAATTCACAGCAAGGATGATCCACATAAAAGCAGAAATGCCTTTTCTTGGATTCTGTTGGCTTAAATCTTGCATGTTGTGTGAAGGTAGCTGTTCCCCTTCCCCTTTGATGGTAACCCATAGTGGTGGCATCTCCAGTGGGTTGTTCCAAAGGGTAAATTACAGTGAATATATATTATTCTTACAAAATGAATTACCCTTCATTGTGATCTATACCCACAAAATTACTAAAACCGCAAATGTAACAGGCGCTATTTTTTCTTTTGAGCAACTTGTAACTTGGTGGGTGTCATTTTTTTTTCTTTTTCCTTTAAAAGTCTAAAGTGTACAGGACCTGTAAGGAGCACAGTGAAAGAGGCATTGTTAGCACTCCTTTCTTGCAGCCTGTTCAAACAGGGTTAGTGCCTGGACTCCTTCTGTGCTCTTCAGTGTCTGCAAGCAAATGTCTCCCACTGCTTCAGGGCAGTAAGTTTTCCCCCCACCTGTGCATATTGGACTTTGCTGTGCTTCAGTTTAATTTTCCCAACTCTTTATTTTCTCTGTGCCTTTTGTACTGCATTTTTTTAACAGATGAATTGTAATGAGTGAAAACACAGGAAGAGACATTACATGAGATCAAGTCACTTGTTTAAAATTGCCATTTTCTACTCCTACATTAAAAACTTGGGAGCATTTTATAGCTGAATAAGAAGGACTACTAGCTTTCTAATATAACACAGTTGTATACTAGAAAGGCTTTCATACCTAAAAGTGAGTCTTTAAAGTACTGAACTGTAAATTCACAATATATTTAGATTTAGAAATTATGTTTATTTGTTTATTGGTCTTGGCCTGTTCATTTTTATCACATTCTTATGCTTATTATATGTGTATTAGCATATAATTTAATTTATACATAGTTAATGTTTTGTTTAATGCGAGAGCTTTGCAAGTTAAAGTACTATTACATGGTTTTGTTAAAATAAGTGAATGAATTTTTCTATAAAATTACTGAAGTTATTATCTTCTGCAGGAAAAGTTTTGAACCAGATAGATTTTGTTAAGTTTGCATGGTTTGAAAACAAGATAAGTGATTTGACCTAGGTGGGCTTCTTTGGTATCATGACTGTTTTGGAGTTTTCTGCACATCTCTACATTGTTTTCCTCTTCTTGTATTGTCACTGACACATCTTTCTCACCTCTT